TTTTTTTTAAATTATTAAATATTATCTAATATTAATTTTTAAAATTATTAAATATTTAAAAATTAGTTATTATTTATTTTTTTAAAATTTAATTTAAAAATCTGAACATATAAATATATTCTTAAAATCAATTTTCCCATAGTGGAATCAAATTATCATATCCAATCTAACAATTTAAAATTTAAGAAATTTGAATTGATTTATCCAAATAAAATATTTTAAGAATGATAGAAATTAAAATCAAAGTAATTCAAATACGAAAAATTCTAAATTTTTTTGAATTTGTAAAATTTCTTATCCAAACACATTAGGATTTTTAAAAGTGGAGGAATTAGAATAAAGAATTTTTTTTTACTAAATTAGCATAAGCTATGAGACTACATGGTGAATTTTAATATAATGACATGTCAAGATATGATATAATATCCTCTTTCTTCCATCGGTGCTTGTAGACATAAGGATGAAAATATGTCATATCTTAAGCAAAGGGTCTATGATTTGATTTAATTTGAGATGTTTAATAAAAATGTTAAATTTAAGTTTTTTTAAAAAATCTATTTATATAAAAATAAAAATAAAAATAAAAATAAAATGTCTGATTTGGGTCACTACTGGTTTTTGAATGTGGCCATTTGTGTTTGTGGTTTTGAGGATGATGTGGTTCATTTGGAGGTCATTCCGAAGGGACTTCACCTTCTCTTCCACACCACTCAACTGGGACAAGTGATCCAAAGCGAAGGAAACCACGCTGTCTGCCATTATTTACAACAGGAAAGGGTGTGTGCATGAGTAGATACAAATTGAAGGTTGGGATTGTGATGACTCAAGAAGAGATATGATGATTGATGTCATATGATATCCTCTCCTTGCTTGGATTGAGCTTGCAAGCACATACTGTAAGATAATTATGTCTCATGTGGAAAATATGTAATATATAATTGCGAACGCAAGCCCCTAAAAATATTAGTGTCAATTTTGTTTTTTGTTTTCTTTTAATATGGGACCCATTTTTATAGTTTTTTTTTTTTATAAAAAAATCTCTTATAGTTTTTTTTAAATTATAACTTTTTTTAAAAAAATATATGTACGTTTCTTTCAGCTTTTTGAAAAGACGAAAAAAAATATTCTAAGATTTGATTAAAATAAGAAGTTATTTGGAATAATTTCCCATAAAACCAGCTGTTTTTCTTTTAATATAACTTACTTTTTAGTAAATCAAAGATTTTCCTGACTGAAAACTAAAAACCAATCTCTCAAAACTGACTACAAACAAAACCAGTGACTCATGCTTAATTAAAGAATAAGGTTATTTAGTATATAATTATAAACAATAACATAAATTAACTTATACTTTTTTTAGAATATATAAGAAAATCATCGTAATAACATTCATAAATTAGCTTCCTATGTAATCAGATTTAGTGGACAAAGCAGCTACAGTTGATATCAGAAATTAAGAACAAAATAAACACAATAATCAAGACAAAATAATTAAGATAATAATTGTTAAGCTAGGGATTTAGAATCTCAATTTGATCAAAGTAGAAGAGAGACTTACCCTTGACAGTAGGCAAATCATTGACTGCATGTGATTTCTGCCTATGGAGTCTCCAACAAAAGCCATTGATTTTCCCCTCATGATTTCTAGAAACTGAAAAGGGTTGAAAATAGGAAGTTCACATTCATTAGGCTTCCACCTCCACTTCATGAACTCAGAGTCAGGTCTCCCATATTTCATGCAATTTTGGTGCTCATGAATTTCCCAACATGTTGTGTTTGTGTAATATGGTGCCTCTGGATTTGGCACCCATTCACCACTGAAAATGTCACACTTCTTGTTCTTCTTCACATTTGTTGGGGACATGATTATTTCTGGCTCCTTCAAATCATGATCAATTTCAAAAGATGGCTGCTTATATTCATTGTTCTTCAACAATGAATAGTAACTACACAAAGAACATGATAGTGTGGTGAGAATAAATATAAGTAGGGTTAAGAATACATGTATAGTCACTTTTGACAAAGCTTGTTTTGAACTATTGTTCCCACGGAAAAGTGAAAAATGTAGGAACTTCATTTTGGAAGTGATAGAAGAGAAAAATAAAAGAGAAGATGAGAGAAAGATATAAAGGAGAATGAAAATTGAGGTTTTCTAAAAAGAATGTGACAGTGTGGTGACAGCGAACCATTATTGTTGCTCAAATTAATTTTAGAGTGATAATAACTAAACTTTAATATTTATTGCGTCATAATATTTTTTTTTATCATTCTTAACCTTCACGTGTTCTTGTGCTAATGAATTCTTAAATTGTTTTTTTAAAGATAAAAATAATTATAAAAATAGTCGCAATGAGAGTTGAACTCAGATTTTTATATTTATAATTATTTAAACTTCTCCCAAATTAACTATTAAACTAATCTTAATAATTTAATTTTTAATTCTTAAATTGTTTTGATCAACATAATTAAATTCTTTGACTTTTTTTAATAATCATGAAACTCTCTGGCTATTTTGACAACTTGCATAACGAAGTTTAAAATGTTTCAAAAAAATGTTTAAAAGCTCATTTAAACTTTTTTGTCTAGAAGTAGAAGATAAAATCAGGAGTCCTTATACGTATAGGAAAGTGTGAAAACTTAATCCTTCAACACTCTTAATACGTATGCTAAAGTGTGCCAAATCTGAAAACATTAAAGGAAGAATCTTATTTTTCCTTTTAATTAAATGAAAGGGGAATTATTCTTTAATATTCTTAAAAAGCCTGTAAACAAAAGAATCATGTCCTGAAATAGAAGAAAAAAAATAGTGAGGTTTGGGGAGAAAAAAGTTGGTGAAGATTTATTAATTGGTAAAAATATATATATAAATTGTGATATTTAAGGGACTAAAATTATTTAATTAAAAATTGAAGGACCCAAATTGTACAATTATAATCCTTTAGAGATAAAATTGCCCAATTAAAATATTAGAGATTTGAATTTGTTTAACAATGAAAGTAAAATAAAGTAATAAATTATGATAAATTTGAATTTATAAGAAGAATAGTCAAATATTGATTCACTATTTTTTTTATATAAAATTTCTTAGTATTTTTATTTATTGTAGTAATTATTTAAGTGTTCTAGGTTATTTAAAGAAAATCTTTATTCTTTAATAACTTTTGTTAAAAAATAAGATTAAAGACTAAAAGTTGATTGATAAAATTTATCTTAATTCTTTGGTAATAAATGTTATCATTGCTTTATTTAGGTGGTAATTTTGAAAGAATTTATCAACTTTGATTAAAAATTATAAAATCTTGAAGATGTTGATCAGGACATAACAAATATTAAATATAAAAGTAAAAAAATTAACTAAATAAATATTTTATTGAAGGAAAAACACGGATAAGTTTACATAATTCAAGTGGTTACTTCAATTTCTAACAATAAAGCTTAGTTCCTCATAATTAAGGATTACACAACAATAAAGGGACCCTTGAATAATTCGTGATTACAATAGTAACCTTACAGAAATTATCTCTAATCACTCTATAATTATACTAAGAAAAATACTGATGATTAGAATGGGATATAAAAACATCCTAGAGACCTTATTTTATAACAATTATAATGGGCTTTTAGATTCGATACACTCACTTAG